GAAGATAAAAACAGAATAGACATGGATGTTACATATGTGACAACCATTTCTGTTCTTACCTGACTCATTGTGTTACATTTCTCAATAATTGAAACCAACTAATCACAGTATGAATAAATTGAATGAAATGATGTAGCTTTGATACGTTAGGCGCCCAATGTGACTTCTTTCATTATTGCCTGTATGTAGAGATTGCAAAAGGCTTGGTTTGCAAGAGCTCTTTCCTCTGAAGAATCTTTCTTGTCTTCCTTCAGTCTTTAATGTAGCTAGCAATTACGAGAGCTGCTGCTTTCAGCAGATCTAGAAGCATTTCACATTTTATTGTATTCACATTTGACCCCAGCATTTCCAACATAAAGTAGAAGGCAGCCCTGTTGTCATTACACCAAGCTGCGAAAAGCACAAAACTGTGTTTTAAGTGCATCTGTATTTAAACATTCTGTTCTATCATTACTTACAGGCACCTGCATGAATGTAGACATACTTTGTAGAGTGCTTGAGGTGCCCTAAAACACAGGTGATGTGTATTGCATTATTCAGCCAGCTACTGTGGTGGAGAGCTCTGTCCCACCTATTCAAATTTGGTGATTGAGGATATTATAATTATGTTTCTGTAATTACACACACATGGGATGCAGGAGGGGCAGGTGAATAGAATACTTTTAAAGGGTTTTTAAACCCTCGCATGTTTTTGCATATATCTACTGCCAGCAAGCAGTAGATATTTACAAAACGATAAAAAAAGAAAAAAATTTTTTCAAAGGGTTAATGCTTACTTGTGTCTCCGTCGCACGCTCCCGTCCGAACATCTGAAAATTTCTCGGGCGGCCAAAAAGGATCTTGGGGCAGGCACATGCGCAGTTCACATGTTCGGCTGGGAGACGAGAGACACAAGGTAAGTCTATGGAGACGCGTGCACTCGCACAGACACAGTAGGACATGATAGAAGAGGAGGAGAGAGGAGTCAGCGCTGGATCGGAGACCCGCACCCAGCGCTGAAAGGACAGCTAAAAACTACAGGAAAGAAGATTGGATTAAGAGGCATCATTTAAGTTAAGTTCTTACATTAGCACTGTGGTGGTGGTGGGGGGGAGGACGTTTGCCCTTAATGTCACTTTAAGGGTCTGTTCACACCTAATGCATTGGCGCTACGCTGCCCATTTTTTCCAGGGCAGCCGCAAGACAAGTCAATTTGACTTGTTCCAGATGGGCTCACTTCACACCACCTCGTTGTCGTGGTGTGTGCCGAAAAAAGTATGGCACACATTACAACCACATTCCACCATGCTGTGCCCATAGAACTTTATTGAAATGTGAACAGTGACATTGCAGTAATTTCTAACAAAAAAAAAGGAAACCGTTTGATGTGGGAATGCACCAATAACATTTTTTTCAAAACCAAGTACGAGTACTGATACTTTTCCTCAAGTACTCGCCGATCCCAAATGCTGATACTTTTTTTTTCTTAAAGTGACATGTTTTCAAAAACAATACAGACCAATGGTATACAGCAATTAGGTGCGTTTAGAAAGGTGCTCCAAATGCACCTGAACTGATGTGTTTTCAACGCTGTGTGCATGAGGCCAGAGGAAGACTCTCTTGGTGATGCAGGCAGAACAGTGGGAACTACTTCTCTATTTGGTAACTGTGACAGATTATACTGGCCACGGGGTGAGGTAATTGCTGGCTACTATGTTACCAGTAAGTTGAAACAGGCGCTCCATTACAAAATGGGTTAACTCGCCTAAACAGGGTGTGGACAGAAGGTTTTAAAGGGAGATGCAGCTAAGGGTGCCCACACACCTTACGATAATCGTGGGAAATCCCGCGATCGTACGATTATCGTAAGGTGTGTGGAAGCCGTGCGACCTCTACTACTGTAAGGTCGCACGACTTTTAACTTACGAACATTTTCGAAAACCCGCCGAGCATCGTACGATGTTCGACGGGTGTGTAGCATGTTCGTAAGATAAAAGCCAGATGGGCCGGTGTGCGTAAGCGCACACTGCCAGTTCGGCATTGCGGTCATCGGAAGCCCGCCCCTCAGGGGGGCGCGGCTTGTGATCATCGCAAGTACGATCTGCCTGTCCAAGATGGGCAGATCGTACGTTTTTTTAATTACCTTACAACCATCGCAAGACAAAAAAGTCTTGCGATGGTTGTAAGGTGTGTGCCCAGCCTAACAGGTCACTGGGAGGAGAGAGACTGTGAAACAAAGACTTTCCAGGCTGCTGCACTAGAGGTATAGTGAGACCTGAGAAAATGTTATGTTTGGCAGGTGTTTAAAAGCTTAGCTTGGCACCTTTATTCAGTGAGGGTGAAACTGTTTTCTATGTGTAGGTAGATCTCTGACAGAGGCTTTTTGTTTGTCTTTTTTGTTACTAGCTGGCTTGAGAAGACTCAGTGCTGTTTGTGAAATAGTTGTCACTAACTGCGTACAATAAACTTCCCTGCTAATTACTTTTGGACTCCAGCCTCTACAAGTTTATTGGCTTACTGACTGCATTGTGACACAGTATTACCCAGGAGCAGGCACACACTGTTACATAGTTACATAGTATTTGAGGTTGAATAAAGACATTAGTCCATCAAGTCCAACAGTAACATTAAATGCCACAATTACTTTCCCTATTTTGTCAGTTTCTGCTCAAAGGGTTAACACGCTGAAGATTTTAAATGCTGCTTCATTAGCTTAAGGGTCACACACATTCCCTGCTTTGTTCCTGCCTTTTTTCCCTTAGCATGAGGTAGCTTCTTCCTGCCATTGCTTATATTTGCAAGAGACACGCGGGTCACACTTCAGTTAGTCCTTGCTTGTTACAGTGACCTGGTCACCTCCGACCATTAAACCTATCCTGCATAGGCAGTTGCTTGTAAGTAAACCACAATTTTACCTGGGGAGGGGAGCAGTGCTGCAGCATTAGGTGACTCCAGCTCACAATCTACTAACAATTCCTGCATTGTGCTTCCTAAGGGACCTGACACCAAGAGCCTGAATCTGTCTCCAGCTTGAGTAATCTCACTCCTCAGAGTATCCTCTGCCTTATCTAACTATCTGTCTAAAAACAGGTTTTAGTTGTACAACTTCCGCAAAATATGTGGAAGTCACACTTCCTCATCATGGCTCCTTCCCCGTGGACCAGGAAGATACTCGACTTTCCCGAACTTCCTAGTCCTGTGTCTATTGACGCACACAGCTAGGTGCAAGAACGTGCACGCACGGATGTCTCCTCAATGGCCAGCTGGCCGATAGACAGACACCTGTACGTGAGGGGGATAGGGGGACTGGGGTTTGCATTTAGGGTTTTGGGGGCAACTAGAGAATGAGGAAATAAAAACGTTGAAAGAAAAAACAAAAGGCAGTTCAAGTAAGTCTGGCCCTCATTACCATAAAATTAAGGTTTAATATCACTTTAGTTTCTAGACAAACTAATTCACCTGACATCCAAAACTAGATGGTCTCTTTCCTGGTGGCTCAGAAATCCAGCTGTGGAGTTGGGAAAATTCTTCTCCCACAGGGATGGCATTCACCAGCCTTCAGGGAGGAACCAGAAGTCTGGTTACATAAATTGCTGCAGAAATATTTCTAGCCTGGGAGGAATTCCAAATTTTATCCTAGTCTATCATTTATATACCAGGCTTGGACACTTGACAGGCAGACTACTTAAGCTGACATTGTCTGCAGTGGCGTCACACGGGGGCAGCCCGCACCCGGGTGCCATCATTGGATGGGTGAGACCAAAATGACAGTCATTTTGGTGTCACCCCCTATGAAATGTCGGGCACTGGGTCACAGACTGAGAGCCCGATAGTGTCAGGAGAGAGGAGGGGACCCGGCTGCATACCTTATCCCACTGGATGAACGTCCCCTCCTCACTGCCGGCGTCCATCACCAAGATGGCCGCTGGCAGGCGTCAAAAAGACCACCACGCATGTGCGATGACGTCATTGCGCACGCGTGTGGGAACATCATGTGCGATGACGTCACGGCAGGGTGTCACCCGGTCTTCACCCCCGGGTGACACTCAGCCTCGGGAGGCCCCTGATTGTCTGGACTGTAGGGAATGGACCCTGCACCCTGAAGTGTTTAAGGACCTTTTGTCACATGTGGGGGATGCTGATGTTCAGGTCTCATCTGATGCCAGCTTTGGGCGCAAGGTCCTTCAGGCAGCATTATGAATTTATATATGGAGTTGTTCTGTTTATGTGGGTCTTTTGGCATTATGCTTGCTGTGTGGCCCGCCTTTCAGCTGGACTGCTTTTCAACATCCCAGTCGTATCAGAATAACTACTGATCCTGTACTACTTTTCTTGAAACTGAAGCATACTAGGAGTGGGAGGGAATATACCTGGCTGGCCAACAACTTCTTTGCCAGTGTTCAAATCTTCCTGTAGGCTGCAGTAAAACCTGTGGCCCTTTACCCCCTTTTGCTAAAAATCACATCAGCATGGAGCTCTGCATTCTGATATAAATTCATATTGCATTCATTAGTTTTTAATTTACTTACAAATATAGTTCATCCACTTCCTGGTCCACTTTGGCACAGATGATGTAATGTGTCTAAGCATTGCATCCTGGGAATGTTACATCAGCAGAGCATTGCTGCGAAATCTCATCTGTAATCTCACAAGATTTCACGGGAAAGGCATTTTCCTCCCCTGAGATGATGTGCAAGCTCACATGTCCTAGTAACATGTGCCAGAGTTCCAGGAAGTAAAGGGGATGGATTCATCCGCCCTTAGTAAAAATGGCTACTGGGAGAACACCCGGGCAGAAAAGAGAAATTAGGTATGTAAAAAGCCTACAATTATCTAGAATCTGTTTGCAGATTGCCAATACTAAACATTTCTAAAGGTGCCTGTTATTTTAAAGCTATGGGTAAAGTTCCTCTTTAAGACATTTCAATGTGTTTTAGATGGAAAGTTTGTTCTGTATGCTTTAATGTTTGCTTAGGATGTATATTTCACACTCGGGTAACCCTTTTTTTGTTTTGTTCTAGTGGCCTTAGGACGTAATCAACCTCTGAAGAAAGACAAGCCTAAATGGAAAAGTGACTACCCTATGACTGATGGACAGTTGCGCAGCAAAAGGGATGAATTCTGGGATACTGCACCGGCATTTGAAGGTCGTAAAGAGATTTGGGATGCTTTGAAGGCTGCAGCACATGCTTTTGAGAGCAATGACCATGAACTGGCCCAAGCAATCATTGATGGTGCAAGTATAACATTACCGCACGGTAGGTTTGTGTTGCCCGACTGTGAAACAAAAAGTCAGTTATACTCATTATTACAGTTTGCACAGCACTTTACAATATAAGGAAGACATTACAATACAATTTAAGAAAATGTGGTGAGGAGGGCCCTGCCCCTGAGGGCTTACAATCTAACGGGAGGGGGGGAAGTGATACGTGATGCTCATAAAGAGAATCATGCTTCTCTTTATGAAGACTCAGGATGTTGCATGCAACTATTCATGAAAACTGCAACTCTAGCCTTGGCCTATCTATCACAATGTGTTTTTAATAAAATCACAATATGAATCTTTATATTGCAGCTTTTTTGTAATGTGTTCTTTAGGTTAGCAAGTGTAAAATATTGATTTATCACCACATGGTAATACAATTGTATTGAATACAGAATTGGTGTTCACAGACAAGCATATGTAACTAGATGGTCTTCCATTGGCTCTATGTAGTGCAATTTGCCTTTTTGGCTTCGCTTTGTGTATCCATTTATTAATGGATATAATAATGATACTAAGCGCTTACTAGGAAGAAATTAATTTTCAGGCAAGATCAGCACTCCAGTAAGGTATTAAAGTATATATCGAGGCATATGCACTACATCTCTGCAATACATGTGCATTTTCCTATTTTGTAGCCATATAAGGACCCTGCAAGTACAGAAAAATACCTGTTCATCTACCCGAAATATACTTGAATCTATTTATTTTTGGGGGCTGACAACACATGGAATTTTGTGTCAGTCCTGCATGGAGTCAACCACTATCTTCATCTGAAAAGCAGACTTGTAGTCCCAAGGTAAAAACTAGGAGGTCTAAATAGACTCTTTAAAGTAATAAAGGAAGTGTACAGAGGACACAGGGGAGCTCTGCATTTCTGACCAGATAAACAGGTTTTTATTTGCACGTATAAAAAAAAAATATTTGGTATATTTAACAGACCAAAAGGGATCGAATAAGAGAATTAGTGTGTACAAACACTTCGCTTTAAATACTATGCTAGATAGTTCGTCTTGTTGGGAAATATCTACATTCCAAAAGGATGTTATAACCTCTACTAGACATGTGCAGTTTGAACTGTTGGGAAGGATCTGCACTCCTCTAAGATGTTAAGTACAGAGAATATCAGTGCATGTTGTGGTGAAACCCTTTCGTATTCACCTGAAGCAGCATTTTCTATACAATGCAACAACTGCCTCTATTGTAAACAACTGTGTACACAAAGCAAACCAGTTGGCACGTCACAAACCTAATTATAATTCCATTTAAGTATTTATTTTTGTTGTCCATTCCACATGGTTTCACCATTGAGTAAAACCCCAGAAAGTGTTGTGGTCGTTGGAGTAATTTGAATGCGCATTATGCAATTTTGAAATATTATACTCCTACGCCATATAGTTCTTCACACCATATATGTGACTCGATATCCCAGCCTTTCCTTGGTATACTGGAGCATTATGTATGTTTTGTATACCAGTCCATGTATTGGTATATGTGGGGATTATATCTTTAATTATAAACATTGGACTTATGGTACTGGAATTTTAAGCTCGGTAGTGGGGAAAAAAAGGTTTCATCATTGATCCTTAAGGAGCCAAGTTCCTGGTTACATTCAGCACAGAAAAAAGATTGATTGATGGGTACTATTGTGAGACTTACAGCGTTATTCACATAAGGGTGAAGAGTTTGGAGAAGGCAGGAGAAGTGAACAATCTAGGACAACATAGCTGAACTGGAGAATGTTTCCAAATCAGGTATGTTGTTCTATAGATTGTTCACTTCTCCTGCCTTCTCCAAACTCTTCACCCTTTTGTAAACAACCGTGTTAAAGTGTATTTTCACTTTTGCAGCCAAATTGGGGTAATACCCACTTTATACTTGTTACATGTTCCCATTCACTAGTATAACTTTAAAAAAAAAAAATTGCAGCTTAACTTTTTTTAGATGTTCATTGTGCTAACTGGAGGACTGAAAAATCTTGCTTAGTTCTTACTGTCTGGGGGGTAGGGGGAAGTTTTGTTTCTAATAACCCTGTCTGTACTCTGCTAGAAGATTTTATTTACGGTCTGTCCTAACAAAGGGTTAAAGCCCTGAACATCTTGTATGGTAATGAGGAGACACTCAGTCTGTCCTAAGTCTTTTTATTAGGATCGTCAGAATTTGCTGTTACTGAAATTGCGAGAGAAGCATGCAAAGGCATCTTAAATGGAGATATCTAAAAGATAACAAAAAAATTTTAAATTATTGTTAGATATGCTGTACAATTAGGTACACAATGAACAAAGAGTGGAGGATTTCTAAATTTTTACGGCAAAAGCGGAAATACACTTTAAGCACATATCACATGCAGATGCTTCATATATGTGGTCAGTTTATAGACGTGTTGTTTTGCCAAGACTGCTTACAGCATTCAAACCTTGGTGTGTACACACCATCTTAAACACAAATGACAACATGAAGAACCAAGCATATTCTCACCATAGACAATGTAATGTTTTATGTTATAAGCTCTCCTAGATATGTATGGCTTGTTGGGGAGGATCCCCAGTGAGATGTTAAAAACTCTCCTAGATATGTATTTCTTACTGGAAAGCAGCAGGGAACAGTACTAGTAGGAAATAATGCTAACCCATGGAAAAATGCAAACTCCATTCAGAATGGCCATATGCAAAATAGGCTGTAAAACGAAACTATGCAGCATTTAGAGGCTAGCGTATAAACAAACATAGTTGGTTAAGATGAAAAAAGGCACAAGTTCAACTTGTAGAGAAAAAGAAAATAAATGGAAAACCTCAATTAACAGAACCCTATACCCACATTTGATCCAGAGGAAACCAAAAAAAACCCCTTATAAAGCATTGCCCAATTTGCTCAAACAAGGGAAAAAATACCTTCCTAATCCTCAAATGTTATCGTATATATTCCCTGGATCAACAATCTCAGTTAATACATATAAATGTTATATTCTGCAAATTTGACCGTGGATCCAATTTCTTTTTTTTTTTTTTTTAACACAGCTGATCTGACTAGTTACTGAGGTAGCCTATTCCAGCATTTCTGAAACCCTTTTTTCAGTCATGGCACCCTTTAAAAGTATGCAAAATATTGCTGCACCCCATTCTAAAATTTAAAAAACATAAATGTAAAAAAATCTGGCTCCTCCAAAATCTTTACCAGACCGTTATCCCACATATGAGTCCAGTATGGTTTTTAAGGCGGGATCCCCTGCATATAAAAAAAAGGGGGGGGGGTTTGCACATAAGAGCCCCACCTTTCCATGCCATGGCACCCAGGTTGAGAAAGGCTGGCCTATTCTACATTTCCACAACTCTCACTTTTAATAAGCCTTTCCATATGGGATGATTAAACCTCTTTTGTTCCAGGTGGCAAAAATGCCCCAAAGCCCTTTACAATAACTTTTAAAGTGAATTATTTGGCACCAAGTTCACTTTATTGCTCATTTGTACATGGTGATCAGATCCCCCCTTAATTGCTTATTCTCAAGGGTGAATAAATTCAGTTCAGCTAATCTTTCCTCATAGCTGAGATCCTTTTCATGGCTCCCATCAGTTTAGTTGCCCTTCTCTGCACTCTCTCCAGTTCCACAACATCTGTTTTTGTGCACCAGTGCCCAAAACTGTCAGGCTATGGTTTATCTCTGGAAGGTTTTGCTAATCATTCCCATGTTGCTCTCATTGTCCACTTAACATAAGGCCCTAAAGCTGGCCATACACTGGTACATTTTCATACGAAAATTAATATGAAACATCTTGTCAGAACATTCCATAATCCCATCAGAGGCTTTTGGAATATTGTTAAGAATTTCATCTGGTTTTTAACATTTGATTTTAGAAGGAATGGAGTTTTCATGAAAAAAAAACAAAAAACGCATTCACTGTTAGAACCCCGTTCATTCTAGAAAAATGTAGACATGCTGTTCAATCTTTTTCATCACTACAATTGAAAACTATCGTCGGTTTGCCTCCTTTAGCTTTTAGAAAATCGAACCAACATTCCAAAAATGAATTTTTCCAAATGGCATTCCGATGTACGGCCAGTTTTTAAAGGACGTCCAGCACATGTATTCTTATAACCGTTAATACATATAATCAGGGCTCAAAATTTCCACTCGTCTGCTCGCATTTGGCGAGTGGAAATGCAGTGCAGGCAAGTGGAAATTCCTGTCAGGCTTGCGGTCTCAGACCGCATACCTGACTCGTGGGTGCAGCTGCTCCTGCTGGTCTGTCCCCCTTCCTTTTCGGCCGGAGCTCTTCACTGAGCTCTGGGTCGAAAACAAAGTAAGGTCTTACCTTACTAATCACACTAGATCACCAGTGATCTGCCTCCTCCCTGCAGAAAGACAAGCAGGTGAGGGGGCTTCCTTGTATTATTTTACATTGTGGGGGCAGGGAACAAGGAGGGGATTATTATGTAATGTGTGTGGGGGGCAGGGAGCAGGGGGGATTATTATGTTATGTGTGTGGGGGAAAGGCACCGGTAGGGGTTAGGTAGGCAGCTGGTGGCGAGTAACTCCTAAGGCCTGGCTAGTAGCTCAGGACTTGAAATTGTTACCCCTACATATAATGAATGTATTTAATATATCAGGTTCTTATGCATCCATAAATTATTTCTATTTTCAATTCAACCTGTGCAATACATGTGACAGGGTTGGGGAAAACTGTTTCACTGCCACTGGGAGTCTTAGTGACTGTGTCAATGGGCTTTAGGGTTGTGTCAATGGTACTAGTTTGACAACAATTTGAGATACTTCTGAGATCATTCAAAATTCACTGACTGGTACATTTTGATCTGCAGTTGACCTCCTTCTGACCTGCATTTGACCTCCCTCAAGCAGGTTTTCTATTCCCATAGACTTGTATGGAAGTGAACAAAATCCCGTCCACACAGGTCCTTATTGTTTGTCCCCACTTTTTTGATGCTGGAGATCCACTGCAGCCACAATGTGTATTGCTTGCTGGATAGCATTCATAGCTT